AAAAAAAAAAAAAAAAGATCAGGATAGGGAGAAAGAGCCCTAAAACCGGGACCAAACCGCTGCGGGAAATGTACTGCAAAATGAACCACTGCTTCAATGTCAACACCACGAAGAGACTCTATGTAGTGTCCTTTTTTTTCTCATCTAAAAAGTCAACCTCCCGAGCCCATAACACGACCAGAGTAGGTCAGCTTCAGGTTTCCATATCCCACCCATCGTAGACCTCAATGCCACCTCATAGTACAGCTCCAATTAAGGGCGCATTCATCCTTTGTATGCATCCTCGCATCCATCCGGCACGTGTATAAAACATGCACTCACGCATCTTCCTCCCCGTGACAGCTAAACACCCACTGGTCAACCCCCCAATGGTCAAACACCGTTGTTGCATCAGGGTGTTGTATAGATCCCCGCCTATATATGCTCACCAATCATGAGCCCTTCCGGTTTACAGAATACTGACAGAATACTGAAAGAACATCTAGTAAGACACCGCCTATATATGCTCACCAATCATGAGCCCTTCCGGTTTACAGACTACTGAAAGAACATCTAGTAAGACACACAAGCCGTATACCAACCATGTCACAATTCGCTTAGCCTAGTTTTCACCTGTTCCTCCCATAACAATGTTGGACCAGTAAGGCTATGGTCGGAATCTCACACGTCCAACTGCATGCCTCAGCTCACCTGTACTAATATCATGTTCAGTTTGTCGACATAGAGGCGCTCCCTTCGGGCCTTCGGGGACTGGTTTCATCTCGGGACAACTGCAACACAGATAGTATCACCATATTCCACATTCAGCATCAAAACTCAAACAGACACAATGAGCACGCCTCGCAGCTTTCCAAACCCCACTTGCTCATGCCCACGTTCCTATCTTACTTCTCTTAAAGCAGCAGCAGCAAAAAGCATTGAAAACCACCTGGCATCTGACTGCTGATAAACAGATCGTGAGTTCGACCCCTATTGGAGTCGGATCCCTCACGTTAGGGGTTAACCCTTTTACGAGAGGGAAAACGCCTTTGAATCGACAAAGACATACATGCAAACTGCATGTCTCTGTCGTGCACCGAGGCCAGTCTGTGTTCAGCAGCCACGACATATTCATCACAACTAATCACGGGAGCTTCATCTCGGCCACATTTGTATTGAAACCACAAGGTGCGTCCTGGATGGACCCCAGCTCCCACCGATAGATGGACGGCGTACAGACTGAAGGGGGGGGGGGGGGGGGGGGGGGGGAAGGGGAGAACAGAAAGAAAACGCGCAGTTCATCCTTCCCTATCCAGCCCGCCACATCAGCAGAACAGACAGAGAGCACACCAGACTGAAATAGGTGCTGCAATCCATTTCCTGTCATGGGGGCCCTCTCCTCCTCCTCCTCAGAGCCCTTTCCTCCTCTCCTCGGCTCGTCGTCACCTCCTCTCTCCTGTACATGCGGTCCACGATTTCTGCCCTGACTCTCAGACGATATTGTCAAGATCCGGGGCAACGTCCCACTTGCACGGATTAGGAGATTTCGGCCGTCGACCTCTACTATCTACGGTCAATATCTCTTAATTCGTGTAAGTGGGACCTAGCCCCCGAATGAAGAGTGGATGCTTCAGGCAATATTCCCGCTTCAGGTCTTCCCAATTCATCATCTCGCTTCATCCTCTCCTGGTTGTCGATCGTTATTCACAATGAACAGCGGATAGAGATCTTCATCCGCTCTTCATTCTTCGATTATCCTAGAGGAAGAGCGATAGGAGGAGGAGGAGGAGGAAGAGAAAAAAAAAAAGGAAGAGGACAGGGAGGAGGGCTGGGCAGGAGAACGGGAAGGACGAGGGCAAGGACAAGGGAGAAGAGGAGAGGAGGATGAGGGAAAGGAGTAAGGGGAGAAAGAAGATGAGGAGGAACAGAGGAGGACAAAGTGAACGCAAAGGAGCACAGGGAGGGACAAGGAAAGCAGCAAAGACAAATGGACGGTGACTACAAGGGTAGGAGGACGAAGACGCGAGGGGTTGAATCGTTTCTGTTTGGAAGGTTTCAGCATCTGGAATGGATATCCCGTATTCTGTTAGAATGACCAGCTGGCGAGACTGACTCTCCCCCGACTACTCGAGTTCTGTGTCTCAAAAGCGAGGGCGAGTGAACCCCCCCCCCCCTCTCTCTCTCTCTCTCTCTCTCTCTCTCTCTCTCTCTCTCTCTCTGTGTGTGTGTGTGTGTGTGTGTGTGTGTGCACATTGAAAAGAGAGGTGCAGTGAGAGAGAGACAAAGAGGTAAGGAAGAATACACCTGGTGCCATAATGAAAAACTTCTTTTTGTGGAACGGTTTGAAGTAAGGTGATGAAATGTGATAGTAATCTGAAGATGTGTGCAGCATGTCGATGGATTATTTAAATTAGTGGAAAAGTCGACTAATGATGGTCGTGATCATGAAGAAACAGAAGTGGAAAAGTCGACTAATGCGATGAAACCGATGGCTGGTTGTTGTTCACCGATTTCAATCAATCCGTTCACCGATTGCAATCATACCATTCACCATCTTGATGATTGGAAGAAGGTTCGACTGAAAGGATTGGTTGCGGTATTGACGAACATCATGATTTTTTAAATTAAAATCATTCAGAAGCGACCACCAATTCTGCATCTGATTCCAACGCAGAGATGATGACCATTTGGTGTTGGCGTCAACAACGCCAGCACGCACGAAGTATGAAAGAGGGAGATGCAAACCGGTCTCACAACATCCCCACCCGTAGAATGGACATTGAAGTTAGAAAAAAAAAAAGAAAAAAAAAGACAGATATGATAGCAATTGAGAGACGGGAGGAGCTCCAGCCGTGAAGAGACGACAGCACAGCAGCACACGAAGAAAAAAGAAAAACCGAAAGGTTCATGCTAGAGAAGAAGCGTTCAAAGGATGTAGTAATATCACACAATCAATATTTCGTCATCATCGTTTTTTTCGCTGTTTTCTTTCAACATTTATAATCATGAAGGGCGGGACTCGGAGGCTGGGCGCGCCTCCATGAAGAGAAGATGGTGGCCCGAAGAGTAGTATCCCACTGGGATCTCTCTCTTCCCTGTTCCTCTCGCCATCTCTTCCTCCCTTACTTTCCTGTTCTCTCTCTCTCTCTCTCTCGCGCGCGCGCGCGCCCCAGGGGGCTGTCTCTTATACACATCTAGATGTGTATAAGAGACAGCCCCCCCCCCCCGGCTCCTCGAAACAAGACGCAAGAAAAAAAAAATAGCAAGGGCAGCCTCCAACCCACAAGAAACTGTACAACCTAAAACCCAAAACCCTCACCTAAAACCCTAAACCCTAAACCCAGCCCTAACCCTAACTCGAGCCTGATCCGTGCCATGTGATGCAGCACGGCGGCCCATCTAAGTCGACAAGGTTCATTAGATTGTATGTTCTAAAATAGGAAAACAAATCATTGCTCAGCTCCTCCCCTTCTCAGATCCCAAACGTAACCTCGAGAGTATATACATGCTTCGTGAAACACAGTTCTATCTGACCTGTCTCTCTCCCCTTTACTTCCCCACTTTCCCCTTTCCTCCCCTTTACCCTCTCCTCCCCCCTTTCCTCGTTCCCTTCCCCCTCTCCTCCCTGCTTTCCCCTTTTCGTCTGCCTTCCTCACAGGCTCACAGAATCCAGAGGGTCTGAATCACTCACCGAGTGAAGCAACAACGCCCGGGCTTTGATGTTGACCTGGGCCGCCTCGAATCGCTCGCCGCATCCGGCAGTGCCATGGGTGCCCAGGCTTTGATTTCCACGTGGCGAATGATGTAGCGGCTCACAGGGTTTATCATCGATTAGGAGCGGAGAACCAGAGTGACGATGCTTAGATCCACTTCAAACTTTATTCGGGGGAAAAAACAGTCGCTCTCCAATCAGTCACCCTAGCCCCTGTACATTCTTCCGTTTGCCAATGCCCTTTTCTCGTGGGGTTATCCCTCCCTGAAGGAGCCGCAAAGAAGAAGCACCACGGCAAAAAAGTAGCAGCAGCATCATGATATTGGGGACAGTGCATGCCCGGGAAAGAAAACAAAGTGTTTTCTCTCCGTTCACTCACCCTAGCCTCTGTAGCTTCTTGCGTTTGCGCATGCCCATTTCTCGTGGGCTATCGCTCCCTGAAGAAAAAGCAGCAGCAGCAGCAGCAGCAGCAGAAGAAGAAGAAGAAGAAGAAGAAGAAGAAGAAGAAGAAGAGGAAGAAGAAGAAAAAGATGAAGCTGCGTCATGAAACTTGTGGCACTTTTCCAGTACATTAGAGTTCTTTATCTCAGAGGAAGAAGAATCGCTGTTCCTACTGCGAACAGTGTTTCCCATGGTCATGATGTCCTTCCCACAGCCATTGCCCAAGGAAGACGGATCCAGGGTGCTATCTGAATGGCCCCTTTCAGCCTGATCACTATTTTCCCTCTCCAATGCTGCTGTTACCACACGCACCGCCAAATCTGTGCCTGCGGGCTCGACAGGTGGCAGACTTGTCATTCTGCTATCGCACCGAAGGTCCCTGCTAACAGTGTTGCCACCAATAGGGTCGCTGACGCCCCCAACCACCATCGCTGTCAACTCGTCGTCTGCAGCATCGTTAACTACATACCCATACGCATTAGCCTCCGGATCTTCCCTACTATCTGGATCTTCCGTACTATCGCGGACGAATGCCAGGGGTGATGAATCAAATGCGGCAGACGACGTTGACATTAACTTCTTCATCAAATACGCATTGGAGGTCGCATGTTTCTTGGCTGCGTCTTCTCCTCCTCCTCCTCCCTTTCCTCCTGCTCCGGCCGCTGGCTTCATTCCATTGAAGAATGTGTTCAGAGACGTCTGCCCGCGCGGATTTAGAGAGATCGGTCCGCCGGCCAATTCTAGCCTACCACCCTCGCTGCGGCCATCCAGCACCTGCCCGAGATTATCGAGTTTGTGCTGAACAGTGTCCCAAATAATATCGTCGATCGTGTGTTTAGCATGTAAGTAGTAGACGTTGACCGAAGATCCTTCCTGTCCGATACGATGGGCGCGGTCTTCCGCCTGGACAAGGTCACCAGGCGTCCAGGTGTATTCAGCAAAAACGACGATGCTGGCAGCAGTGAGAGTGAGCCCTACTCCTGCCGCTCGGATTCCCAGCACGGCAACTCGTGTCTGTCTGTTACCCTGGAACCTTGACACAGCGTTCTGCCGATCTGTGGCGGGTGTATTCCCGTCAATCCGTATGAAGTCCACATGCTTCTTGCGGAGAACGTCCGATATGCCGTCCAGCAACTCAATGTGATGTGCAAAGATGAGAAACTTGCAATCCGCGTCCAACATCAGGCCGACGTATTCCTGCACGCTGGTTACCTTGGCCTTAGCGGACTCCACATAAAGCTTGTTGAGCAGCTGCTGCTGGTCGAATTTCATCAGTTCCCGCTGCTCTCCGCAGAGCTTCCTCATGCGATCCCTGACCTCGTCAAGCTGCTTGAAGATTGCCCTCGGCTGCGCAAGATCCTTCTCATCAAGTGCCAAAAAGATCTGCTGCCGGCGTTTCGGTGGTAGTTGCTTCAGAACGTCGTTCTTCAATCGCCGAATCATGACCGTCGATTTCACCAGTGCATGCAACTCGTCCATGTTGCTCGCCCCCTGGAACAACCCGAAATGTGATCCCATGCAGTATCGCGATCCGTACTCGTTAAAGCTGTTGCGATACACGGTCGGCTGCAGCGCCTCCAGCTGCTTGAACAGCTCAATGGGCCTGGACAACGCCGGGGTACCGGTCAGCAAAATAGCGCGGGCTGCTCGTTGGATTAACGGCACACACGCCATGGTCCTCTTTGCGTTCCGATTCTTCATGTAGTGTGATTCGTCCGCGATGACGACCTTGAAATGGGGCTGAGAAGCTTGTTGACTCTTCTTCTGAAGATGATGATCATGGGACCCTCGGGCGTCCGTGGTCATCGTCCCCATGACGGGGCTCCCTTTGCCCACACGTCCGCCGCCGCCTCCGGCGCCGTCCGCCACCCCCCCGAACCCGTCAAGTCCGATCTTCGCAACGACATCGTAGGACACAATTACGAACAAGCTCCCACCTTCCCCTTCCTCCCGCAGATGCTGACGGAGAGTTGAAGATAGTGATGGCAACGAGGTCACGATTGTAAAACCCTCATCTCGCTTTACCTTATTCGGCATCACCACCGTGATGTCCGATGGGCTTAGGTCCAGCCACTGGACCAACATGTTCGCCCAGTAAAGCCTCAGCGACGATGGGACGACGACAAGAACGGGCCACTCCGACCGGTAGCAGGCAGCGATGGCGATAGCTTGAAGCGTCTTCCCGAGACCCATCTCGTCCCCGAGGAGTGCCCTTCCGCCCCGTCGGAGGGCGAACTTCACTCCCTCTTCCTGGAACGGGAGAAGAGCCTGCACAAGCTTAGCTGGCATCGAATCGCTGTAGAAAGCTTCTTCGTCATTATGCGCTGCACACGTGGCTTCGAGTGCTCGTTGCATGAGTGGCGGAAGGCTCTCCATCTTGACCAGCAACTCCCCCCCCGATGACGATGCGCACGACGACGCGGAGACCGAACCAGAGACTGGAGCACTGGAGGAGGGGGAGGAAAACGCTGCGAAGGCCTTTCGAGCATCCTCCAGCTTGTCCGCCGGAATGGTCCACAGCTTCTCAGAACCCCGCCACGTGGCACTGGGCACCGTCTTAACCGCCCTCACTAGCGCTTCGTCAAAGTCAAACCTCAGACCAATCCTTCCCTCAGCATATGGCACCAGCTTGACTATCTTGACCTTTGCTGGCGCCACCACCCTCTGATTCTGCTGCGCATCCGGCGGCGGAGGATGCTGCCGCTGATCCCGTGGCGGATCCGGCGGCAGCGGATTTTGCCCTGGTTGCTGTGGATCGTCTGCGGCTAGAGGCCGTAGCTGCTGCGGATGCTGAGAATCCTGAAGCGGAGGAAGCTGCTCACGTTGACGCTGCCCACCGAGCGACGGAGGAGGTTGCCATTGATGCTGTGGACCTTGCGGAGGAGGGTGATGCTGCCGTTGGTGCGGATTGTTCGATGCCGTCGAAAGCCTTTGCGGCACTAAATACCTGTCAATCGTTCCTTTCCCTGTCAAGCTGCCAAGGCCGCCGATTGTTGTGTTGGCATTCGATGAGGGCGTCGCCTTCGCTGTTGCCGCCGGCGTCATCGCTGACGTGGCAGCAAGCAGCTTCGACGCTGATGACGCTGGTGAGCCCGGCGCTGATACCGATGCTGCAGCGCCGCAAGGCCGATCGTTGACAGGTGCTTGAGCTGGAGGGGGAACAAAAGGATGATGCTGAGCAGGTGCGAAAGGAGTGTAGGCAGGCGGAGGAGCAGGCGGAGGACGATGGCTAGGACAAGGCTCGCGCGATTGCCCAGACTGCAGATGATGCTTGTGCTCCTGACCGCCCACTGCCGAACACGACCTCCTCCCCGTTGCCGCCCAGTAATCTCCTTCTTGCATCTCTGCCGCCGAACCCGCGGCCGCTGCACAATACGCTCTTCCGGACGCCGCCTCCCGATCGCGGCCCGAAGCAAGCAATGACCCTTCCCCGTCACCCCGTAACGCTGCTGCGGCGTTTGCTGCACAAGAGGAGGAACCGTCGACGAGTACCACTTGCCGCCGAGCAGCTACCTCTGCTGCTGACTCGGTCGCCTTCCACGTTGGCTCATTGCCAACAGAGACTGCACCATCCCGAGGAGGAGGAGGAGAGGGAAGAGAGAGAGGGGAAATCGCCTCCACGACGACATTCAGCGAGGGGATGCGGCGAAGCGCGTCCACAAGAGCCCCCAGCTTGCTGATTGGAAATGTCCACACTTTGCCCTGCATATCCCACATGCTTTGAGGCACAGATTTACAAGCATCCTTAAGCTGCGGATCGTACGGACTCTTCGCAGCGAAACGATCCCCGCCGACGTTCTTCAGTTGGACAGTGACAGATCTCATATTCGCGCCGCCGCCGCCGCCGCCAGAAGTGCGGGAAGGCATCACCGCCGACGACGGCAGTCGGACGTTTTCCGAGCTGTAGTTGTTAGAGTCATGGCCCTGCTGAAGGGATGATGATGGCGTAGGGTGAGGAGGGCGAGGGGGAGGGGGAGGAGGAGTGTTTTGTGTGAAGTGGGTTGGTCGCTGCATTGATGACGACGAAGTCGTCTGCACAGGCAACTCCGGTGGCACAGCGATAGACGGATCGAAGGTGAGATCAACTTGAAGATTGGGCGTGGTGTTTGAGATCGCCCTCACTGCGTCTTCCAGGTGGGCAATGGGAAAGCTCCAGACGCGTTTCAGACCGTCCCAGGACCTCCCAGGGATCGTCCTCACAGCATTTACAAGATTCTGATCATAATGGAACTCAACGGCGTACCGATCATTGCCATATGGGATGACATGAACAGGTAACGGTAAGGTTGCATGATCCTTCCTCACTGTCCGAGTACCGATAACTGCAGTTGAAGGGGAGATGGAGGAAGCTGGGTGCGCAACCCGCGGGGCAAGATGCTCTACACCATCCCATGACCCGCCGTTGACCGACATCCCTCCACTGTCTACGTGATGATAACCCCCACACACACTTCTTTCCTTCCCGCGTCTACTAGAATGGTAATCCGCTTGAGACGATGACGCCATCGCTTTAGCCTGCCTCAACTCCGCAGACATAGCCATGGCCTGTCGTTCCATCTTCTCCAGCTCCTCGTTGCTCAGTTTCGATAGCGTATCGTCCTCTTCCAAATCCATCCTCTCTCTCTCTCTCTCTCTCTCTCTCTCTCTCTCTCTCTCTCTCTCTCTCTCTCTCTCTCTCTCTCTCTCTC